CACTGTATATCTAAAACACCAACTGCAACTTGTTCCTTCTCTGAATAAAAACTTCCAAGAGCTCCCTATTATTTCAACAAGAAAATACAATGTTCATAAGCAGATCCACCCAACCTATTATCATCTAATCTGTTTTTGCCTTTGCAATGATGTTCCTTCTATCTAGATTCTCTTTTATACGCCATCTGCCTTTAAACTTTATGTATCATTTGAGATATAACTCAATTATTCTGCTTTCTCTTCTACTAAGCAGTTTACACTATTTAACAAACTCCGATTATTGAATATTTAGCTTGTTTTCACTGTTGCCCTATGGTATGATGATAGCTGTCATTTTAGTGTTCCAAAGTGATATTTCTAGGTCAGAGTTATACATGACTCTGCCCCTCAGCTTTCCATGCCCAGACCTGCTGCCTCATAATGCCCATCTCTCAGGGAAGACTTTTTGCCTCAAGAACCTCTCAACTTGTTTTCCAACTGTTGGTCTACTTCTGGCCAGTATTTTTTCTTCCCTCCACCATTTCCATTTTTATAAAATAATAAAATACCTATATAAAACTAAAAATATAACATACAAATAATTGCATAACTCATGATGTTAACGAAACACAAAGTTGTCCAGCAGTGGCTCTGATCATAAAATAGCTCCAATGTTTGTAAGCTATTAAGGTAAGGTCTTATTTCAATATACAAAACGTGGTTTAAAAGTGTGATTGAATAATGAAGGTGTATTTCAGCATTTCTTGATTTTTCAGTCAGAAAACTGGAACATATTTATGATATAATTAAACCACAAAAACAAAAAGTGCATTTACATTAACATCAAACTAGAATATACATATGAAAAAGAAAAAAACACAAAAATGCCTGATTTCCCGAATTTCTGTAGAGATGTTGTGTTAAACATTTTTTAAAAAGTGTAATGGAATTAGTGGTTACCAGAGGGTAGGGGGAGAGGGAGGATAAGTGAGGTGGATGGGGTAAAAGGGGTCAAATACGTGGTGACAGCAAGAAATCTAACTATGGAAGGTGAAATTTTTTTTAAAAATGTGTAATGGAATATTTGGGGTGATAGAACTGTTTTGTATTATGACAGTGGTGATGGATACACATTATATGCATTTGTCAAAACCCAGAATTGTAAACCACAAAGTGAATTTTTATAAATTAAAAATTTTTTAAAACAGTATATGGGGGAACCTGAGTGGAATACAAACTATAAAAAATAAAATTAACTATTACAAATAGCATACTACAATCACATTGAAAGAAGTAAGGGGGAAAATAACTAATTCAGGTAACTTTACAAAACAGTATTTTAACTGGACATTAGAAGGCTAAAGACAAAAAGAACTATATACAACTATACTGTTCTCTAGTTAGTACATTTGTTTTTCATGGGAGTATTGGTTAGAAATACTGAAATTATGTATGTACTAGGATTGAACAAAAAGAAAATTATTTTTTGGAACATGAGAACCAGATTTCTTGCTATCAAAGAAAGAAGTTACAAATAAGGAGCAAAAAGCAGAATGAACCCTGTGCTGCTAGATTAGAATCAGAGGTATCAGAACTTCGTTTTTTAAAAAAACATATAAGTAGTATATAGACATATATAGATGTATGTCTATATATGTATATATATACACGCACAAAATACAAAAATAAAATCTTTCTGTACACATATATATGTGTGTGTATAGATAATCTATATATACGTTTTCATAGAATATGTGTATATATATCTCCATTGAATGTGTGTGTGTAGCTGATATATGTGCATATGCCAGGCATTAGAAGCAATGATACCTAAGTCACAAGGAGCATACCTAGCTCCTAGATCTTGATGTTTAAACACACTTCCAAAAAAATAAATTAGGGGTCCTTAGAAAAGTGGTTGATTCTAGGGCTGGGGCCCAGAAAACACAAGATAAGCCTGGAGTATCTTATGGCGTCAGAAAGGAACTTCTCAAAAAAGGATGAGGGTTTGTCAAAAGGGCATAGGAAGCAACTGGAAAAACTCCTAATGGTCAAAGCTGGAACAATGTGAACCATAAAATAAATAACAAAAGTATAAGAAAATTAATTATTACATACTGATACAAATAAATAACTGGGTAAATAAATAAGTGGAAAGAAGAGGCAGCTCTTCCTTACAGAAGAACATTAATAAATGAAGAAACGGGGGCAACAAAGTCACCATCATAATATCACAGTAATTATTACTGAAGGCAAGATCCAACAATGAATGCTAAAATCAGCAAGTGAAACTTTGAAGAGAAACAGGATATTTGCATAGTTTAAAAGTTCTCTCTCAAGATATCAATTAATTGCAATGGGAAAAATAGTAACTTTACATTAGAGAATCTCAGCAGACACCACCTTAACTAAGTGGTCAAGAATATCATCAAATGCAGTGTGTCATATCTAATGCACCCCAATGCCTCAAATGATTAACTGAGAAGGGCACATATATACGTCTGTGGTATCAACAAAAATGCATGACCTTAAATTATGAGGAAAAATTAAAAAAAAAAAATAACTGACTAGGATTCTTCAAAAGTGTTAAGGTCATGAAAGACTGAAGAGCTATCATATTGTAGGAGACTAAGGAGCCACGCCAACTAAATGCAATGTGGGATTTTGGATTGGATCCTGGAACAGAAAAAGGTCATTAGCATGATGAAATCTTTTAGTACTGTCCAGATGATAATTTCTTACTTTCAATAATTGTACCATGGTTATATCAGGTGTTAATCTCAAAGAATGTTGAAAAGGACTCTTACTTTTTAACTTTTTAAAATTATAAAATTATTTCAAAATAAAGTCTTTAATGAATGAACTGATGTTTCCCATGAGACAGCAAACATTTAGAAGTCAAAGAACTACAATCATATTCACTGCACTAATACTTGGGAGGAGGAGTTTCCTGATGCTATAAACTTTATCTTTTAGTGCTTACAACTATTATCGGCTGATACTATGATACTCATGTTTCCCATGAGGAAAAAGTACTGGGAGGTTAACTAAATTACTTAGGAGGTTATTGATAACTGGAAAGTCCCTTTTCTCAGAAAAAGGCCAAAACTGCTGGAACACCCCCGCCCAAGAGTGAACATCCACCATCAGCCTAGAGATCCTACAATGTGGGGGAACCACATTGGTGGCACTGAAATTCCTCAGGCTCCTCGCCCCGTGTTTCTGACTGGGAGACGGGTACTGAATTTGGAACGAAAAGTCAAGGCCTTTGGTCCTACCGTATGGTCTCCTCTCAGAGCCTCCGATTCCGAATTTAGGTAAGGAGGGAGTTAGATGTGGGACCTTCTGTGAATCACCTCCTGGTCTGGCTGACAGGAGGCTCCGACCTCTTGTTCCCAGTTCTCCCCCAACAACTCCCGAGCCCCCCATTACCCCTCGCAGTGTCACCCACCGCGCACCTAGGCCACACACACCAAACGCCCCCCACCAGAGAACAGATGCGCGGGCCCGTCTCGAGACCGAGACGCCGGGAACTCCGACGGTCTGAGGCCCACTGTGCGTCAGGGGCATGACAGACGCCAGGAACTTTTCCACCCGGCTGGTCCCATCGGCCGCCTCGCCATACCCGTTCTCAATAGTGCTTCCAAAAGCGAAACCGCCACTTCTCGGAGGCAGAAGTCCCCACCCAGCTCGCACTTCCGACCTGACCTGACGCCCCGCTTGCCGCGGGGCTCCCCTCCCGCGCGCCAGGCCCACTTTGCGGCTCAGAGACAGACGCCCCTGAGACGGCCTCCCGCGAGCCCCTTACCTCCCGCTGAGGCGCTGGAGGGCGGTCGGTGCGCAAGGCGCAGGCGCGGGAGCGACAGGGAGGGACCTCTCATTGGGCCCACTGGGCTAGGCCACGCCCCCACCCGCCGCGGCCTTGAGGGGTGTGGTCTGCGCTCAGGTGAGTACAAACACCGGCGAGAATCTTTTTAAAACGTGGTCGTTATTTATGTAGTGGGATTTTAACGCTAGAGCCAGTAGGAAAGACTCAAAAACGCTTCTTAGGTCAGTTTGTTGAGTTTTAAGTATGAGACAATTCACATTTGTATAGCCCTCTACATTTCGCAAAAATGTTTTGTCCATTTTCCTCTGTTAATCCAGTTTTATTGGCGGGCTGTCCGTATATTCTTAGCTCTTTACACATGTAGAAACCGAAGCTCAGAAAGGTTGTGCCTTCTTCCTCTCGCCCCTCCCCCCCAAAAAACCCCACAAAGAACACCTGTGAGGTGGAGAGGGCACAAGTCTTAACTGTAACAGGTGCAGAAATCGAAGCTCAGACAAGTTGTGATTTCCCCGTCAAAAGTGGTGGAGGCCTTAATGCCAGTGTCCTCATTCCAATTTTATAGCTAATGACACTGAGGCTCAACAAAGATTTTTAAGTGACTCACTCCAATACAGGCAGTTAGTAACAGAGTTGGAACTCCAACTGAGTTTCCTAATTTCCATCCCAAGTTCTTCCAGTTATACCAGCTGTCACCAATGAAAAAGCAGGTGTCTGGCTTTGAAGCCCTGACCAGGTCGCATGTCCTTCTCTCTGGATAGCCTAACTTCCAGACCCAGCCTTTTTTATATGTGCTTGTGAATATTCAGATGACTTACTTAGAATGAATCCACTGATGGTATTATCCTCAGAAGTAATTAAGATGTTTAAGTAATAGCTAAAGAAACTCAAGTCTTAGAGTCTTCCAGTGTAGTGGGAGTAGAGTTAGAAATTGTGGACCAAGGAAAATTAGGAACCTGTAAGAAAGCCTTGAAAGACAATTTCTAAAATAAAGCACAAATTCTGAGCAATTTGGATTGTCTTTGTGGGTATAATACATGCTGATGTTTGTGTTACTCTAGGAATGTTACTTATAAAATTTTAATTTAAGAAAAAAATTAAAATATTAGGCAATACCATGCAAAAATGTTTTTTTTTTTTTTTTTTATGCAAGGGTCAGTTAAACAAGATCTTTTTGAAATAAAGATCATTCAAGTTGTGAAAAAGTTATCTCAAGGACTACAGGGAGGCATAGCACTCAAAGATTCTAAATTCAAACCTAGCCTTTTAGGTTATTATATGTATGTTTGCTATAAGTTAGATGTATTGAAGTAGCAGGATAGAACTTTTAATCTAACAGTTTGTTAGCTTGATTTGTAATCTTTAAATATTTAAACATTTGTTGTGTGGACCTCTTTGTACTCGCTCTCTGGGCCCCGAAGTTGTTAGGAGTAGTCCTAATGCTACTAGCCAAAATTTTCCTGGTCCTAATGGAACCAGGAAGGCCAAACAGATAGGTAGGTAAGTAGGTAGGTAGATAGACAGACAGACAGACAAAGTTCTTTTCAGATATTGTGGTTGCTTACTTGTAAAACCCAAAGGAATAAATTAAAACAAGTTCAATGAAGTGTCTAGAGAAAGCTTTCTTTAACGACAGTTATCAACTTAAAAATGTAGTGGGAAATAAGATCACTTTCAAAAATAACAATCGAATTTGTGTTTATAGGGAATTACAGAACCTATTTGAAGAATTAAGAATACTAGCTAAAAGGGGTGGGGTCAGACAGAGGGATGGCAAAGGGGCATGAGGAAACTTTAGGGGTGTTGGAAGTGTTCGTTATCTTGATTATGGTACTAGTTAGTTACATAAGTGTATACATATGTCAAAACTTACCAAATTGTACACTTTAAATATGTGTATAATATGTATATATGTGTTTATTATATGTCAATTATACCTGAATAAAGCTGTTTCTTGAGGAAAAGTATATAATATGATTTACTTAGAACATAGCACAGTTCTTGAAACAGACTAAGAGAACATATAGTAATTATATGAATAAATAAACAATTTTTCTAGTATAGAGCAAGTATATGGAGAACCTGAGAATCAAATTCAAATTTGGCACAATAATATAGACCTCCTAGGTTATCTTCCCGGCCCATTCCCTTATTGGGAACTGTTTCTCTTGACCAGATGTGCATGCTATCAGATAATGAGCCTCTGGCAGCCATTTCGTCCAGGGACGAATTCACATTCCAGACCTTAGTGAATTGTTCCAGGAGCAGATACTTGGTAAAGCTGGAAAAATAAGATACCTTCCCAGGAATTTGGGGTTGGGACTAGGATCTAGTTTTAGTCTGGCTGTTTTCTTGAGTGGAAAAGATGCTCACAGCAGAACTTTTGGTGGCCGTGTTTTTTGTTCCATAGACTGGCGAATAAGATGCAGCCATGCTGCTCATATATGCTATTTATAAGTGTGGAGAGATGAGTATATGCATGTCCTCATCATGATGTTTAAAAAAAGTTGTTTATTTACTGTAGGTCATGTTCAAAAACATTTAAAAGCTACTACCTTCACTAAGTTCTTTCTCTAGTCATGAATTATTGAAATATCTACTGTAGTTCTGAATGCATTCTATTTCTTTGTGCATTCTATCATTCCAACCATCTTGTGAACTGAGATGAAGAAAGGTTAAAGTGATAATGGTGGTTACATTTGGGATGGGATTAACTGGGAAAAGGCATGAAGTAGCTTTCTGGGGGTGCTGAAACTGTTCTATATATTGATCTGATGTGATTTCATATGTGAAAATTCATCAAGCTCTATACCTAGGATTTGTGTACTTTATGAACATAAGTTATACCACAGTGAGAAGGTAAAATAAATAACTGGCAATTCTTGATATAAAACAAATAAAATGTCTTAGTAAACAAGGAATAGATACTTCCTTAATATTCTATTATTTCTCTCTAAAATACTGGTGAAATGGCAGCAGTAATCCCTACCTTTGTTAAAGCCCTTCACCCCTTTGGAAATATAATCAAAAGACACGCAAAAGATAGAAAGAGAGGGGAGGGAGGTAAGCATGATTAGATACAGAAAAAGGAAACAGTTTGCAGCACATTCAAAATTCCTGTTTCCAGTTTATTCCTGAGGCAACACTGCATTCCAACACTCAGGTCTGGTTACACCCCAAAACCTTCAAAAATCCCCAGCCCCCACCCTGCTTTTATTTAATTGCTTAAACTAGTTCAAGTGAACTTCTGCTACTTTCAGTCAAGAGAGTTCTGCTGTAGAAACAAAATCCCATTTATTTCTATCTTATATCATCTTAAACTTATACATAGTGTTTGTTCACTGACTTTAGCTCTTAATCCTCTCCACTTTCTGCTTTGCTGTCCCCTGCTACCACCACACACACACACACACACACACACACACACACACACCCATCACCAAACAATCTGTTTATATAAGGTTATAGAGACCTTATATTAAACCAAAAGGAGTAAACTCTGCAGGCAATCAATAACACTTGAATTCTCCACTCATCAACCATTCACCACTTAGGAATTTGATGATCATTTTACGTGTAAAATAGCTTAAGTACCCAGATGGATGTCTCCTCTCCTTACCTTTTGTTCTTTTCATTACCTTAATTATTCTCAAAACTTACTGTGCCCAAGAATTATTGCATATTGTCATTTGAATAAAACTATGCTTAATGGATCTTATGGGCAATTTAAACAATTTTCAGGAGTAATTTTTACTCTGTAAAATATTTTTTTACTTTATTCACTGACTTTAATTCCTCATACCCATACCCTTCACCATCCAACTCACTCTCAAAAGATGCAGCTTTACTTTACACTATGCTTGCAATGAAAACACAGTGAACATACTTACCATTAGATCATATTAAATTCTATTTAAACTTTGGCAATTTAAAAGACACTTGAATTTTGCAGTAGCTTAGGTATTATTATCATGAATGTCAATATCACATGATATACAGACGTGCAAATTGGTGGATATTACAAGGGCCCAACCTTGTTTTCTAACTTTGTTTCTTATTACAGTTGGCCCTCGGTACCTGCAGGTAGAAGACAGCTTCTCAACCCCTGTGCTTGAATGTGTTACAAGTGTGTGGAGACATTAACTTTCCCAGCTCCCAGTGTAACGGGGCCAGTGGCAAAACAGCTTTCTCTCTTGGTTTTGCTTTATAAATATCATTTTCTATTTGTGCATGACAGGGAAAAGGTTGAAAAGCACTGGAAGTGGCAGCAAGACACCAAATTACTATAATAAAATGTAGACAGTGATGTGTCAAAAAAAAAAGATCAGATTATAAGGTAGGTGTTTGGAGGAGGGAGGCATTAAATCTAGAAATTCTAGAAATAGTAGGAGAGGTCACATTTGGGGTGGACATAGAAAGATGAGTTGAATTTGGATGCGTGGAGAGGGAGGGACAATTGGTGGAGAATATTCCAGGTGAAAGGCACAGAGTGGGATTGGGGAAAAGATCAGGAAGAAGAATACTGAGGAGTTCAATTTGATTAGAGCAGAGGAAATGTGAAGGAGAATGCAGTTGTCCCTTGGTATCTGTGGGGAAACTTGGTTACACGACCCCTTGCCGATACTAAAATCTGAGGATGCTTAAGTTTCTTACATAAAATGGCATAGTATTTTTATATAACCTATGCACATTCTCCCATATACTTTTAAGTCATCTCTAGATTACTTATAATACCTAATACAATGTAAACTCTATGTAAATAGTTGTTATACTGTATTGTTTAGGGAATGACAAGAAAAAAAGTCTGTGTATATTTAGTACAGACAACCACCATAGGCCTAATGCTACGTAGTATACATCAGCAACAAAATGTAACATTTTTTTCTGAATAATTTTGATCCACAGTTGGTCGAATCTACAGATGCACAACCCATGGATACAGAGAGCCAACTGTAATGGAATAAATGACAAAATACTATTTAAGTTTGCTTTCACAGAGTTTTGAAGGTTTCCTGTTTCAACTCTGACATGTAAAGAACTTGAAAGTCATCAGTCATATTCTTCTAAGAAAAAAAGCCGAACAAGCTTAAAATCAATTATTTTCTTGAACTCACCAGAGAATTGAGATTGCAGGGCAGACCACCCCCCAAAACATGGAAAATCACAGCCAAGATGATCTTACCTGAAACAGAAGGCCTTGGAGTCTTAAACTGGTAGGAAAATTTAAACAGTAACTTTGACAAATTGTTGGAGTTGGAGTTTGGACTATGGTGAGCGTGAGAAACTTCTGGGAGCTACAGTCTTAGAGAGACTCTACACTTCCACAGATTTTACCTCTAGGAACCATACCAGATTCTGAAGGCGAAGAGCCAAGGAAAAAATCCTCCTGTTTCTGGCAGAGGACGGGGAAATAAACCATTTTGAAATATACCCAGAGTCTTCTCCATACCAAAGGTCTACTCAGCAGGGGAAAAGACAGCCAGAGACTTATGGGGGGAGGGGAAACATTACCCAACTGCAGCCCCTCCTACTCTTCCTGTCTCTCCTAAGAGGGAAAGGTTGAGAAACTCTTGTGAAGATCACAGCCCAAGGACACAGGCCCACTAAAGACTGAAACTTAATCATAGAATTATATAGTGCTTCCCCTTCCCCTATACCTTACCACCACATACATAGTGCTCTAGTAAAATAACAGTGGATTCCAGCCAAAAGAGCTGCAAAGTACAGTCTCTATGTAAGAAGGAGTTTGGGGGAAAATCCAAAGACAACAAGGAGGAAATTGAAGGCTCTGATACCTGCTGGTACTGCAAACATTAAACACAGCCCAGTTCCTAAACAGATTAAGGTAAAACCTCACCTTAAAAACCTATTTGCCTCAGTTCTTGCTACCGGATACATTATATCTGGTTTTCATCAAAAAAAAAAAAAAAAAAAAATCTCAAGGCCTATTAACAGGCAAGAAACGACATAGTCTAAAGACACAAAGCAAGGATCAGAACCAGTCTCAGATATGGCATAGACAAGGAATTTAAAATAATTATGATTAATAAATATGGCAAGGGGTCTAATAGAAAAAGTTGACAATGTGCAAGCACAGATGGGTACTGTAAGCAGAGAGGAGGAAACTCAAAGAATCAAAAGGAAATGCCAGGAGTGAAAAACACTAATGAACAATGTCTTTGATGGACTTGTCAGTAGACTGGATCTAGTCCCAAGGGATGAATCAATGAGTTTGAAGATATAACGATAGAAAATTCCCAAATTGAAATGCAAAGAGAAAAAAAAGAGTGGGAAAAAAAACCCAGAACAGAATATCTAAGAACTGTGGGATAATTTCAAATGATGTAACATATACATAATTGGAATACCAGAGGAGAGGAGAAAGAGAATGGAGTGGAAGAAATATTTTAGGTAATAATGGCCGAGAGTTTTCTGAAATTAATGACAGACACCAAACCAGATGCAGGAAGCTCAGAGAAAACCAAGCAAGACAAATGTCCAGAAACCTATACCTAAGTATATCATATTCAAACTCAAAAACAAAAAAAGCAAAGATGATGAGAAAATCTTGAAAGAATCCAGAGAGGAAAAACATGTTACTTATAGAGGAAGAAGGATGAGAATTATATCAGAATTCTCATCAGAAACCATGCAAGCAAGAAGAGAGTAGAGTGAAATATTTAAAATGTTGGTAAACAAAACAGAAACCTGGAATTCGATATTCAGCAAAATTTCCTCTAAAAGTGAAGAAACAATAAAAATTTTCTCAGACCAAAAAATAAAAAGGAATTCAAGGAATTCATTGCCAGAAGACATGCTCTGCAAGAAATGTTAAGTTTTTTCAGAGAGAAAGAAAATAATATAGACCATAAGTTTGGGTCTACATAAAGGAAGAGCCGAGGATAAAGTATAAATGAAGTTAAAATATTTTTTATTTATTATTGTTAATTGATTTAATAATTTCAAAGTAATAATGCTAACAATGTATTGGATAAAATAAATGGTAGAATGTTGTCAGGGATAGGAGGGAGGAATTGAGAATACTCTGATATAAGGTACTTGCACTACCTATAAGTGGTATAGTGTAATTTGAAAGTGGACTTAGATTAGTTGTAAATATATATTATAAACTCTAGAGTAATCATTAAGAAAAGTTTAAAAAGAAGTATAACTGGTATATCAGAAAAGGCAGAAAAGGGGCAGGGGAGAAATATAGAACAAGTGCAACAAATAGAAAACAGTTACAAACATAGAACATATTAAACCAACTGTATCAATAACCACTTTAAATATGAATGCTATGAATACACCGATTTTTTTGTCAACATGGTTGTCAGAGTGAACAAAAAACATGACCCAACTGTGTTTTCTGCGAGAAATCCACTTTAAATGTAAAGATATACCAGGCTAATACTAATTAAAAGAAAGTGGGAATAGCTATATTAAATTTCAAACAAAGCAGACTTCAGAACAAAGGAAAATTATCAGGGATAAAGAGGGGGCACATTACATATTGATAAAGGGGTTAATTTTCCAAGAAGACCTAACCGTCCTTAATGTGTATGGGCCTAACAACAGAGCATCAAAATACATGAGGCAAAAGCCAATAGAACTTCAAGGAGAAATATAGTGCCTTGCAAAAAGGATATGAGAGCAACAATGCAAAAATTAAATTCATGAAAGTTGCCTTTTCTTCCAGGAGCTGCAGGATTGTTATAAAACAGGGGTCCCCAACCCTTGGGCTGAGGATCGGTACTGGTCCTTGGCCTGTTAGGAACTATGCCGCAGAGCAGGAGGTGAGTGGCAAGAGAGCAAGCAAAGCTTCATCCATATTTACAGCCGCGCCCCAGCACTAGCATCACAGCCTCAGCTCCACCTCAGATCATCAGGCACTAGATTCTCATAGGAGCACCGGGCCCTGGTGCCAAAAAGGTTGAGGACCACTGTTATAGAAGAACTAAGAGTATAACAAATGATTTCTAAGATACCAAATATTTCTAGATTCCTGTTGGAAAAGCTGCCAGAGCTCTCCTTTATAGGATTAGAGAATCTACCCTCAATCCTTTGACAACTGACACTCTCACCAGTAAACCTTTTAATCCCTCAACTAGTGAAATACATTTCAGGAATTGGAAATCAACAAAATTCACAGAGAGCAGCACCTTCCCTATTTGTCCAGCAAGCCCCCAAATCTCATTGTCACACCTCTTAGGGGATTTTTTTCTCTTCTGTAGGCCTCAGTGGATCGCAGGGGCTTTTTAAGTGATACCTATATTTCCACTGACCAAAGACATATTAATTTTAATATATCTTTGGCAGATTATTACTAAAAAAAGAAACATTCCTTGCTATATGAAAATAAATTGATAGCTTCAGCAACTGTCACTTTGCTTATATAAGTGAACATTTCTGAAGAGAAATGTTTCAAGCCTGAGCAAATGGTTTTAAATATGGAAAAAAAAAATTTTCTGAATCCTTATACTCAAACATTAAAGAACATAATTGCTAAGTTTGAATCTTTCCATCATCTGATAAATGCTTTCCCATTTATTCAGTTAGTAAGTCTACATGGCCAACATGCCAGCCACTTTGCTGAGTGAGTCCTAGTTATCGAAAGTTTAGAAAGTTCCCATTCCTGTCCTCTAGGGGCTCAAAATCTGGAGGGAAAGATGGATGTCGCAATAAATACAATTAGCAAGCACTATTCTTAGCTATCCGTACAAAAGTGCTACAGAAAAAAGCACAGAGAAGGTGACTTCAGAGGTTGGTCAGTAGAAAGGAGTCATCAAAGAAGGGAGGAAAGAACATTCTGAACAGAGAGAACATATGTAAAAGGCACAAAGAATGCAGCAGAGGTATATTCAGGTCCCTAGAGCAGTGGGCAAGGTTAAGCAAGGTTGACAGAGGGCAGGATAAATGACTACCTCACATGTATTTATCAAAGTTCATGTTGATCATGTTCTCATTTGTTCAAGATCTTGTCATGGCACCATTTAGTTTTGAATTGTTATTATGGCCCCCACCATCTAAGACACACATCATACAGACTCACCCAACACCTACTGATTCCTTGTGCGGGGTTCTGGGGCCCGCCAAGTTTTCATTTAAGTTTTCAGCCTCATAGCCCACCATTTTTTTGAAGCTCTATCAGGTTCCTATAATTCCTAATGTCCTATCTGCTTCCTTGCTTCTATGCCTTTGCTCATGCTAGTCCTTTCTTTGGCATGCTTTCTGCTTCTTTTTCATTGATCAAAATATTACTCTTCCCTGAAGACTCACCTTAAATCCCTTCTCTTCCCATAAAACTTACCTTATTTCCCCACCCTCTGCTCCCACAATACCTCAATTTAATTTTGCTCTGCAGTACAGTTGTTCTTATATCTATCTGTCTTTCTAACTAGAGCAGAAACTTATTGAGGGCAGGCACCTTGTGTTATTTATTATAGGTTATCTGAGCACTTGGCCTGGAATGTGGCACTTGATAAATATGTTTAAGTGACAAGTTGTCTCATCACTTTTGTGATCTCACTGGCCCGTTCTTCAGTTTCACAACTGAGTAGCTCCAGCTGGGCAAACCTTCTGAAGCTCAGTTGGTCACTGAGGGTGAGTTCAGAAGAAGAGTAAGAGAACCACGTGGGGCATAGTTTCTCAACTCTGATGGCACAACAAAGCTTCTTGGGGACCTTTTTAAAAATGTGATTGCCTGGGTCCCACCTTCAGGGATCCTGGTTTAATTGGTCTGATATAGAAACCAGACATTAATAAATTTTTTAAAGTTTTCTAGATAATTCTATAGTAGAGTCAGTTTTGAGAACCACAGGGTCCTAACGGGTGGACAGGAAATAGTTACCAGACTCCAAATAGGAATTAGAATAATTTCTAATTCAATGTATTCAAAAGGTGATGCTTTCCTCAGGAAAACATAGCTAAAGGAATGGAGGCCACACAGTCTGGGTGAAGTCAACCTTTTTTTTCCAGGGAAATCCACAAGGAGTCTTGAGTTATGCTGTGAGAGGAATCATACATTGGGCATGGTACTGGTCTTCATGTTCCCATTCAGTATGTCTAGAGAATCCCATTGTGCCCTACACCTACAAACATCTTTAACAGGAAGTTACAGGAAGCCATTAAATGAACTGAAATAAGGACACCAATAAGTAAATCATCAGAGGAGTTATGAAAGCCTGAGAGTTTCCAGTTACTTGAGGGTCTCCAACATAGATATGACACGCAGCCAGTTGAATGGAGGAACAGAGCCAGACACCAAAGGGAGGACGCCATGTTGCACAACTCCAAGAACACCATGCATGTTGTATTCCACTTGAAGAGTGTCCCCTGGAATTGTGTAATGCCACATCTTGGCACAGGGGGTTTTATGTCCTCAGACCCAAGAGATTTTTTTTTTTTTTTTAGACGAGGCAACTCTTGGTTGACCTCACAGATTGCAAGTCAGCTTACAATCCCTTATTTTTTATTTTTTATGCCTACAGCACCTGGTCTTCCTAGGTGGTCTCCCATCCAAGTAATAACTAGGCCCGACCCTGCTTAGCTTCTGAGATTAGGAGGGATCGGGCTTGTTCAGGGTGGCATGGCCGTTGACCCAGGAGATTCTTGGTAGTGGCCTTCATCTTGGTTCTGTTTCTCCAGCCACCTTCTGGCTTGAAACTGTCACTCTGAACCAAGATGAGGAATGAAGAGCCTCATCACCAAAACACGTAGGCTGGAATCTCTTCCTACCTGATGATGTCTCATCAGAAATTCCCCTAACTGGCAGCTCTTAGCAACACATCCTTGATCCACCCGATGTGTTACACCATCCTACTGAACTCCAGCCAGAACGGTTCCCTAAATCAGTCACTGCAGCATAGTTTCAGAAAGTGTGTCGGTTCCTTCTCAGCATCACTACCCTTTTTCTTCATTAGAGTATCCACAGAGA